CCTCCCCCCCTCTAGATCACATCCCAGCACTCTGTTGTACTTTTACTTTGTTGTAGTGAGTAACAGACTTCATTACTCCCAGTAACAGCTTTACCAGGAGCAGCTGCTGGGGGCACAGGTCCTACGCATGTCAGTGCACCCCCATAACTACATCTCCAGAGTCCCTTTTATCTATGCATAGCAGTATATGGGTAGGCTCCTGGGAAAGAGATCAACGCATGCATGTGGACAGGGATAGAGAGGGGTGGGGGACAGGTGTAGTTCTGTAGTCCAGCATTCAGGGCTGACAACGCAGGTTGGGATTTCAGGGCAGCACTGTGTTGTCAGTTTATAGCAGGAAGTTAAAGGAGAACTATGAGATGAGTGATTTCCACTCACCTCATAGTTCTAGCCGACCTGTGACAATGAGACTGTCACAGGTCGGCTCAGTAGATCGGGAGGTGAGCGAACACATACCGGGTTCGCTCACCTCTCGATCCTGTCACGGCTGGATTCCCCTCTCCCCGCTCCGATCTGCCAGCGCTGACTGGCGGAACGGACGGGGGAGGGGGCGGGTACAGCTGGCTCTGCCTCTTGATAGGCAGAGCCAGCTGTCACTCACGCAGCTGGGCGGATCTCGACATCGATGTCGGGAACCGCTCCGGCATCTCAGTATTCCGCGAGCTGTAGCTCGCGGTATCCTGAGCTTAGGGTGACGGGAGGACGCTAGTATGTGTCCTCCCGTTACCCTAAGGAGAACTATGGGGAAAAACACTCACCCCATAGTTCTCCTTTAAGAGCTCACTGGATTTCTGAAAGGCTCACCATGCCTTTTCCGCACTTGATACATCATAAGCCCTGAATTCGTGGGGTATGATAAAGATATCCGGGACACAGCTCCACAATAGGGTGGGCGAAGGGAACAGTTACGTTTATACAGTGACACGGGGCAGGCTATTTGTTTAGTAAACTGCAGGAAAGTTATCTGAGGATTGAAATCTAAAAAGTAGAAGCCAATATAAAGTGTGTGTAAACCCGCCGGGCGTGATTGGCTACTGCCTCGCTGGCTTAATCAAAGCTTTTTTCTGTTGCAAGGTTTCTTACTTGGAGATCCTGCCACTGACAGCACTTCCTGTTTCTGACCGACGACGCTAAGCTTTTGCCTTGCGATTAGCAGCAACGCTGTCAGCCTGTGGTGTGCGCTCGCTCCTTCAGGTGGCAATTGGTCTGCTTATCAGGCCATCAGAAGACATTCGCAGCGGCTGAGCGTTGTCAGGCTACAACAGGAAGTGCTGATACTGGCGGGATCCCCAGATAAGAAACTTCGCAACAAATTTCCCAAGAAAAAAGTCTAGCTGCTCAAGCAAACTGAGGCATGATGCCAAACATACTGCAAAATAGATTTTATATGATACAAATCCTGAAATAAAAACACAACCCAGATAAAAATACAAAATTATATTTTTTATTCTTTGTTACCAAAACATCACACGGAACACAGATAAGAGTCCAATGCTGGTCTGTAGCAGTCGCTGAATCACAAGACCGGGAGGACCTTTATCAACTATAAAAAAAAACAGTCCAGACTCTTCACCCAGAACAGCTCGGTGCGGGCCAACGCATGGGTTCTGGTCTGGCCAACCGAAATGTTGCCTCGGTCATGGATAGGCAATGAGATGCTTAAGGAACATCTCCAGGATTTTTAAAATGAACTCTTGCAGTGGGGTCAGGTGCCTTTTCTGTCTAGGGACTGAAAATAAAGAAGATATTCCTACCTGATCCTCAGTCCCTGAAGCCTCAATAAT